AGAACTCTGTGTATAACTCATGTAATCTGAATATATCATTTAGTAATATTAGAGAATCCTGCTGTCTTCAAAGCATGTTTTTCATGTTTTCTGTCGACATTTTATATAAAAGAAGGGATAGCAGCCTTTCAAATGTAGTTTTCTTAAATCCCAAAGACTTGATTTTTCTGAGTGACTTTCTGGAACTTGGACTCAGTTGAAGGTCAGAAGATATGTTTTCCTTTAGGCCCTGTCTTCTACCAAGTTACAGTATTCAGTTTTTTTCTCCTCTTCGTATAGTCTTAGCATATTATCCAAAAATTACATGGGCAGAAAAGCAAGTGATGGGAAAACATGAATATACAAATCCCAGCTATTGATTGTCATAACATTAAACCACAATTTTATTAGCCTTCAGTTAATGCTTTTAGTGTTTTATATTTTACGCTAAGTACACAATTTTAAACAAAGTTTTACCTATAAGAAACTCTGTTTTTTATGTCTAACTTCTTATCTCTCCATATTGGCAAGTTCTTACATTGCCAGTACTACAGTTCATTTCGTTCTATTGGCTCTTGGTAACAATATCTCAAATACCTGTTTCTCCTTTGTTATAATATTAGATCTCTGGAAATTTATTTGACAAGTGGGAAAAGTCTATCTGGTGTAATCATGTAACTTCATTTCCCGATCCTCAGTTCATTAGCCAACTTGGTTAATAACTATAAAATGTACTAGTTCTATTCACTTTGAAGTTTTAGTAGCGTTTTATTGTTGTTGGCTAAGCTTATGCTGTTAGTATTACACTCCCTCGAGAGAATTATAGTTTACATATTTCTCAAGGATCACTAAAGTTTAGCTAGCCACCTTGTATAAATTTAGTGTAAGATGTTACCTTTTAATGCTGTCTCAACATTTATGCCTTGTAAAATGTAAAGGAAATTCATGTCTGCAAACATTTTTAAATGACATTTAATTCACTACTGTTAAACAGGCAGGAGAATCAGAGTTTAAATTGTAACTCCATTCTTAAAGTACCCTTGCAGTGTGGATTCTGTTCTCAACCCCAGATAGAGAGCATTATAGTTGTTCATTTTCAAAGAAATAGATGTAGATTATTGTGGCAGAATCATTGTCCGAGAGAAGCAGGCTCAGTTATCTTGCCATTTGAAATGATAAAGGTATTCTGGGCACTGCTACAACCTAGGAGTCTAGGCATAGAATCCAAGATCTCACACCTGTGGGATTGATGGATAGATTCCTTTAGCTGGTGGAGCTCTCTTTTGTCTTGGGAGATCTTCAGAGTACTTCTCCCTGTCCACCAGTATCATCTGCTTATTTCTTTCATTATAGTTCAGCTAGCTGTAATTCATGGAAGTGCTTATTTTTTCCAGGTAGATAGGAAAAGCATAGGCTGCTGCAGAGGAGAGTGATTATATTGCTGTTTGTCACCAATATATAGCTGACATTTGAGTAGCATCTATTCTCGCTTAATGGTTAGACATAAACATTGAACAGGAGAAGGGAAAGGACTAAACCCCGTTGGATTTACCAAGTGAAGGCTCTCAGTGAGGCAGAGCAGGGGCTCACAGATCCTCTGTACTGTGTTTGGAAGGAATTCTCTTGAGGATCCTGAGAGATGAGGTAGAGGTGACTAGATTTAGATGTGCATAACAGCAAAGAGAGAAAATATCAATATGGGGGGAATTTGGTTCCTCCTTTTACGGTGTAGTTAGGGTTGAGAATTGCCCTTAAGAGAAACAAAACAGTGATTTTCTCTATTAATGTTTATGGATAACCATAAATATGTAATATATCCTCTGCCTTCTAACTCCTTGACTTATGTGGAGGATTTAGAATTTGTAAGAGGGCACTGGATGCTAAAGAAGGTGAACAGCTAAATGAATTCTTTGCATCAGTCTTCACTGCAGAGGATTGGGGCAGGGAGGGGAGCCTCACCTCACAACTGAGACCTTTTTACATGACAAATCTGAAGAACTGTCCCAGATTGAAGTGTCAATAGAGGACATTATGGAATAAATTGGTAAATTAAATAGTAATAAGTCACCAGGACTAGAAGGTATTGTCCCAAGGATTCTGAAGGAACTCAAATACGAAATTTCAGAACTACTGACTGTAGTACGTAACCTATTGCTTAAATCAGCCTCTGTACTAGATGACTGGAGAGTAGCTGAATGTAATTCTGATTTATTTTTTTTTTCCAAAGGCCTGCAGGGGTGATCCTGGCAATTACAGGCTAGTAAGACTAACTTCAGTGCCATGCAAATTAGTTGAAACTATAATAAAGAACAAAATTATCAGACACATAGATAAACACAATATGTTGGGGAAGGGTCAACACGGCTTTTGTAAAGGGAAATCATGCCTCACCAATCTATTAAAATTCTTTGAGGATATCAGCAAGCATGTGGACAAGGATGACCCATGATATAGTTAGTTGGCCTTTCAGAAAGCCTTTGACGCAGTACCTCACCAAAGGCTCTTATGCAAACTGAGGAGTCATGGGATAAGAGGGAAGGTTCTCTCCTGGATCAGTAATTGATTAATTAAAAGATTAGACACAAAGGGTAGGAATAAATATTCAGTTTTCACACTGGAAAGTGGTAAATAGTGGGGTCCCCAAGGATCTGTACTGGAACCTTTGCTGTTCAACATAATCATAAATGATCTTGAAAAGGAGGTGAACAGTGATGTGGTAAAATTTGCAGATGATACAAGATAGGTAAATCCAAAGGTGACCAAAAGCTGAAGAGTTACAAAGAGTTACTAAACTGGGGGCAACAAAATGGCAGATGAAATTCAGTGTGTTGATAAGTGCAAAGTAATGCACAATGGAAAAAATAATCCGAACTACATATACAAAATGATGGCGTCTAATTAGCTGTTACCACTCAAGAAAGAGATCTTGGAGTCATTGTGGATAGTTCTTTGGAAACATGCTCAATGTGCAGCTGTGACAGATTTATGTTACCAGTCTGCCTGTGGCGTCAGGTGATCAGGCTGAGGCCACAGGATTTTTAGGAGAGGAGATGACGGAGCACACCAAGTGTCTACGTTTTAAAGCTTTATTAATAAAATAACAGCAGTGAGTGATGGGACTGCTCCCGCGTCACTCAAAGGAAGCAAGAAACCATTAGTACCCCAGCCCTAACCCACTTTCATACTCATACACGCATGACCCAAGGCTGGCCAAGCCTGGGTGTAACGTAAGAAGAAGAGGAGGAGGGGTGGATGGGAGTTCTTGTCCCGTGCACGGGTTGTCCAGGGTCTGCTGTGATCTCCGGCTCGCTTTGGCTCTCGGGAGGGTTTTTAAGTCCCGGGTTCTTTGGGGGCGTTTTTGTTCAGGGCTCTCTGTTCCTGGTGCTCTTTTTACCAGTCCAAACCGGCTCGCTGTGGCCTCCTCAGCTTTCCCAAAACACACCGGCTTCAGAGACTTTGTGTCGTTCCTTCCCCCCACCCCACCCCCCGTTGGCCGTCACCCTCTCACTCGTTTTGCAGTCTCTGCAGCCCTGCTCAGCTTCAGCTCTCCTTTTTTTACGACTGACCAGGGCTGGGTAAGATGTGAATACAGCTGTAAACTTTTTTGTCGAGCCCATGGCCTTGGACCAGGCCAGCGTTTTATCTTCAGATGGAGCTCACTGAAGTGTCAAATTAACCCATTCTCTGCTCTCTTCCTCCTTCCCCCTTTGGCCTCTTGCAACCTGCAAAGGAATCTTTCACTCCATACTCACACCTTTGACCCTCCCCTAAAATGCCTTGCGATGTTTGCAACTGCATTAGCAACATACAATGCTAATTTGCCTCCCCATGGGACCTCCTGAGGGAGGGAGTCCTTGGGTCTGTGACACAGCTGCAGTCAAAAAGCTAACAATGTTAGGAACCATTAGGAAAAAGGGATAGATAGTATGACAGAAAATATAATGCCGCTATATAAATCCATGCTATGCCCACACCTTGAATACTGCATGCAGTTCTGGTCATCCTATCTCAAAAAAGGTGTATTAAAACTGGAAAGGGTACAGAGAAAAGCAAAAAAATGATTAAGGGTATGGAACAATTTCCATCTGAGAAGACATGAACAGTCTGTCTTTTTAAGCTTATAAAAGAGACAACTAATGGAATATAATAGAAGTCCATAAATCCATGAATGTGTGGAGAGAGTGAATAGGGAAGTGTTATTTTCCCCCTTCATATGACATAAAAACTAGAGGTCACCCAATTAATAGGCAGCAGGTTTAAAACAAACGTAACTAACTCCTTCACACAATGCAGTCAACTTATTGGATGTTGTGACGTAAAACTGGGTTAAAAAAGAGTTAGATAAGTTCATGGAAGACAGATCCATCCATGCCTATTAGCCAAGATGGTCAAGATGCTCTGTGTGTCCCTCCAACTGCCAGAAGCTGGAACTGGACAACAGGAGACGGATCACTCTACATTCCCCTGTCTGTTCAGTCCCTCTGAAGGATCTGGCACTGGCCACTGTCAGAAGACCATTGGTCCAACCAAGTTTGGCTGTTCTTATGCATTCTTACTCTTTTTTTGGTTGATAATTTCATAAATGTTTCAGATACAAATATGAGACATGTTGTCCTTCAGTCTAAACTTATTTCCCTTATCTTTTCCCCTCTTTGTTTTTAATTTGTTCCCCATTGCTCATTTATTCATTGTCTGTCTCTGGATCTGCCTTTCATTCTGGGAAGGTAGGGGGGGTTGGTGCTTTGCTGTGCAGCGGGAACATGTTTTCTACAGATGGCTGGTTGGAGTAGGGTGGCTTTTCTTCCAAAAGACTTAAATGCAGCTGGCAAACATCAGAATTTGGTTAACATTGCTTTTTGTTTGTTTGGGTTTTCATTTAGCGGGAGGGAGCCCAGCTTGCTCATTTAACAAATGTTCCTACTGCATCAGCAGTTGATTTTAGTGCTGATTCATGTGGCATAAAAATGTACAGTTAATTACATTAAGGCAATGTTCACATTATTCTCGCTTTCCTGTTTCAGGTTTTTAGCCCGTTCCTTGGTAAAGATGGCAGCCAATAATGCAGTATTGAACAGACTGGAGCAAAAGGGTGCAGAGGCGGATCAAGTCATTGAATACCTCAAACAGCAAGTTGCTCTTCTAAAGGAGAAAGCTAGTAAGAAAGTCAATGTCTTAAAGCAAATTTACTAATCAGATGGTTAATATTATACTATAATATTATATACAGGGAGCCTGTCCTGGCCCCGGTGCGCACCGCTGCCACCCTGGAGCCGCTCCAGGTAAGCGGTGCTGGGCCAGAGTCTGAACCCCTCCTGCATGCCAACTCCCTGCCCTGAGCCCACTGCCACACCCTGCACCCCTGCTGCATGCCTCACCCCTCCTGCACCCTAACTCCCTGCCCTGTGCCCCCTGCTGCACCTTGCACCCACTCCTGCACCCCAACCCCCTGCCCTGAGCCCCCTCACTGCACCATCGCTCTGAGCCCCCTCCCACACTGTGCACCCCCTCCTGCATCCCAACCCCCTTCCCTGAGCCACCTAGTACATTCCGCACCCCTCCTCTGCCCCAACCCCTTGCCCTGAGCCCCTTCCTGCACACTGCACCCTCTCCCACACACGACACTCCCTCCTGCACCCCAACACCCTGCCCCAGCCCTACATTCAACTTCCTCACCCAGATGTGGCCCTCAGGCCAAAAAGTTTGCCCACCCCTGCTGTATAGGATTATCTGAAGCTGTCAGCAAATTCTTTGCCTGACTCTTTGATGTAAATGTTACACCACTTTCTGACAACGGAATACAAAACACTCCATATATGTAAATGTATGCCCCAGCTTGTTTCCAGAAACCAGGATTTTTATGATCTGGGTATGTGTCCTCAGTAGTCTAATATTTAGCCATATATTCTGTGTACATTCATGAAACAACTCCATTTCCATTTTTGAGTCAATCATAGTTACTACACGGCTTTTCATTCTCAACAGTGCGATACATTTCGAAGGATGAAGGTGCTCTATCATGAATATCATAGAATCACATAATATCAGGGTTGGAAGGGACCTCAGGAGGTCATTTAGTCCAACCCCCTGCTCAAAGCAGGACCAATCCCCAGACAGATTTTTGCCCCAGATGCTTAAATGGCCCCCTCAAGGATTGAACTCACAACCCTGGGTTTAGCAGGCCAATGCTCAAACCACTGAGCTATCCCTCCCCCCTGAGCTCTACTATTTTTAAACTTTATTCTTAATCGTTTTTTTTCCCATTTCTCTTCTTTCTACGCTGTATTTGGAAACCGCGTTTATTAGTCTTGCATAATCATCTTCTGCTTATGAGCCAAACCATTATTTTCATTCATGCCTTGTTCAATTTAGCGAACACTTGACAGCTCTATCCTACTGATAATGAAATAGTCTTGTTCATCTCGTAAAGCTTTCACAAAACTTAGTGTCTAGTCAGAATCAGAGGGCCAAAGAGACCTCTTTTGCCTTGCCATCTTTACAAAGCAAAGTCTTAATACGTGCCTCCATAATTTTTTTAAATACATTTTTAAGATATATCAACTTCAGTGCTGCCCTTCATAATTCATTGTACACTGTCATGGTACTTATCATAGAAGAAATATCACTCCATAGATGGGAATCCGCCTTCTCTCTTACATTCATTCATCACTCTGTTTTGTTAACCAAAAAAAATTAGATATGTGTGCATACGCATTATTGCAGCACATTGGTTTAAGTTAGTCTGTTGTAATCCTGTATATGAAATTCCCACAATTTCTGCTTTGGGAGATCAACTGACATTTCTTCCTGAATGCCTCACCATCAGTTGAAATGTAACCTGCCCAAAACTCAACTTCTTATCTTTCCTCCCAAGTCCTGCCTATTCTTCCATTCTCTGTCATTCTGGACAATAGCATAATTCTCCCTAGCACTCATGTCCATAAAGTGAGGGTTGTCTTTGACTTCTTTCCTCTTCTATGTACTGCGGTCAGACCATGTTAAATCCTGCCTCTTTTTCCTCTAGCACACTTCAATTCAAAAATCCATGCCACTAAAACTTTTTCCAAGTTCTTATCAGTTCACATCTTGATTATCATAACCACTTCACCAACCCTCACACATACTATTTCCAGTCCATACAAAATACAGCTGCTTAATTCATCTTCCTTACTCATGTCTCTGACAGTGTCACCTCCCCATTTGCTTTGAATCTCTCCACTGGCTCCCTGCTGTACTGCATTAAGTTCAAGTTTCTTGGTCTGTTTAATTATTCACTCTTGTCTCTTATTGCATTGTCCTCTTCCCTTCCCTCCTCCTCTCCCCCAAACTCCCACCCCCCAGTCTCCACTCTGTAAGCAAAGAGAAAAATGGGCAGTCAAAACCCTTAAAATATTGTTCATGTTTTTTTCTATCACTCCTTTTGTGTGGGATGCCTCCCTGGCCTGTTTTGTTAGTTGTCCTCTTCAGAATCCTCCTCACTTCTGCTATGACACCTACCAAAATTCAGACAACAATTCATAATGATTGATCGGTTGTAGGGGAAAAAATGCAATAACCCCAAAAGAAAATATCAAATACTTACACTGTACATTCTGAATAATTTAATTGCATGAACTTACTGTTACCATGTCCTCATTGTTTCCTTGTTTGTTATGCTTACTCTAGTCTTCTTTTCCTTACTATATTTTTGCAGGATCCCAATCCTGATTGGGGCCTTTTGGCCCTACCACAATCCAAATAGAAATATTGTGTTTGCCACATTTTTAATAGTTGGATTATAGCTTAGAATATAGACTGAAGATTGCTAACATTTTTAATGAATGCATGTGGACCTTACACCTTCTAAATGCCTAAAGAGTTCCTCTTGGCATGTAATCTAAATGTTTTGCCTATAAATTTAAAATGATCACACTTGTCAACACACATTCTGCATAGCCCAAAGGGAATGCCACCACATCTTACACTGAAACATTTTGTCATCTTTCTTATACCCCCAGCTTTTTCCTTTAGTCAGAATCAAGGGGGCTCTAAAGATTAAAATGTTCAGCCATTATTGCCAGCCTTTTCCCCTCAAAACAATTTATAACCATATCAGCATTGTTTCAGTTAGTTAAACAAAGTTACAAGGTACATTTTAAAATACAAAGAATGAATCAAATACCATTCACTCTCAAATTTAATCCCAAGGCTACCCCAGATCGACCATTCAACAAAATAGAAAGTATTATTAAATGTTAGTGCCTAATTTAATCTGTGAATCAAGTCCATTTGCATTTATTTATTATCTTTTGTTATGCTAATTTATGTAATATCTTGAATGCCTCACAATTATTAAGAATAATAGAATAAGCCTCTCAGCGTTACCATTTCAGAATGGAGAGATGGAGGCACAGAGTTGAGTGACTTGCTGAAGGTCACCCGAATGCCTGTGAGCGCACTGGGAATAAAATCTTTTTTCCATTGCCTAAATAAGACTGTCCTTACTTTCACGGCAGTGTAACCTTATTGTACATTCTATAGTTAGTCTGCCAACTTCAGTGGGTTTTTTTTTATTGTATATCAGGACAGAAATCTGGGTGTTTACAAATATAGGTTATGCATACAGAAAGAGAATTTTGTTGAACCTCATATAGTTGATTACAAAGTTATAGATTCAGATTGGTGCCACTGTAGGAATTTGAGAGGGGAACAAAAAGTAGCTTGATTATGATTTAGATGCAAGTCCACGAGGAAGGCATGAAAGTCGATATTTGAGAAACCACTGTCAGTGTTCATTAATAAAAAGTCAGTAACTATAATAAAATGTATGAGATCTTTTCTAATGGTGATTTTTAAATATTTTAAAAATATTCCCTTTATTTGCTTTTAATTTAACTAATTTTTTTCAGATAAGTGACATTCAGCACTTAGCAAATGGATGTGTAATGACTGGAGCCTGTAGTTTCTAATGTAAATTGTGTCAACTCTAGTTCTGCAGGCATCTCTCCGAGAAGAGAAGAAGCTTCGTGTAGAAAATGCTAAACTGAAGAAAGAAATTGAGGGACTGAAACAGGAGCTGATTCAGGCAGAAATTCGGAATGGAGGTGAGAGAGAAAGGAAGGAGAACTATATCTTCACATGTGTGGGCTTAGATCCTGTCACCATCTTTGACTGCTGTTTTGATCACTTGTTTAATCCTTCCTGATTCATATCCCTGTAGTCACATCCATGGCATCTTTTTTGGCTGTTTCGGTGAAACTTTGGAATGCCATACCTCTTGGTGGTTAACCACCTCTGTAACTTAAAGTATATGAGTTCTCTTGTAAGTTGCAGAAGTGACAATTATGAAAATATGAAAAGTTTACTTTTGGTTGGGACCATGTCTTTCTATATGTCTGTACAGTGCCTGGCATGATAGGGACCTAAATTTGACTGAGGTTTCTGGGTGCTCTTACAATACACTGGAAGATGTTGGGTGACGAATGCTTTTGAAACTCTGTGTACCTCGTTTAGGAACCTCATCTGGCACTGAGCTCCTTTGAAGATCTAGCCACAGTTGAGGGTACTGAGCACTCTGGAAAAGCTGCCCCTAAATGACTTACCAAGGTTGTCCAAGGATTTTGTGACGGAACTGAGATTAGAACGTAGCTTTTTTGAGTTTCAGCCCCATGGCTTAACAACAAAGACTTTGCTGTACCACCATTCCTCCTCTGTTATTGTCCCAGTCTGGATCTATCTTTTTAAGTCCGGGGCTGATATAGTCCTCACCCTTATGAAATTTTACTTTGAGAGAAAAGGAACAAAAAGAGGAAGCTGCAGTTCTCCAAATCCAGCATGAGTGTTTCATTTTCTGCAAAAAAATGTTCTTGAGGAATATGTCAAAAAACAAACAAACAAAACATTTTTAGTTTCACAGTGCTAGTACTGGAAACCAGATAAGACACTATCCAGTAAAGCATGATTTTACTGCTTCCCATTACTGACTTGTTCCAATGTTAAATCAGCATGTGCAGTCTTCAAAAGAACCACCACTTCATAAATGCACTCCTCCTTTCACATGACTTAATTCCTTTAATATGCTAGACTATCCATTAGTCTGTTTCTTTTCCAATGGCCGAGAACCTGCAATAGTTCACCTCAGTATTCTTTTCAGATGTGGGATAGGCAGGTATGGGTAAGAGGTGTCTACTGAAATTTCACAGAAATATTTTACAGAAAAATATCCCTATTACACATGAGGGACAAGCCTCTATGTATACAAAGTTTCCAGGTTGTAATTGTAATATAAAAAAAGGATAGAGAATTAATATCCTGTTTGACAAATGTTTTGGATAGACTTTACTTCTTCATTTAAGCAATTTATGTGGATGGAGAACAGAACTAAATGTAAGACCTTTTTCTACTGAACAGAAGAACATGTTTTATGAGTCTATTATGTATTCACACTACAAGGAACATATAAATCAGCATGTGGAATGATGTATCTTTTAAGAATGAGAGGAACAAGAAGCCTTTCCTGTACTGGTGACCAAAGGGCAAGTTTAACTGTAACTGTAGGCTACTTAGCCTGACAACAGTCCAAAGCAAAATAATGGAAAAGCTGATATGGGATCCAGGTGGTAAAGAATTCAAGGGTATTTATGCTAGGCTTGAATCTATAAACAAAGGAGTAGTGGGTTAGACTAAGGTGATGATTTTACATCTGTATACGACATTGGTGAGACCAATATTGGAATACTACATGCTTTTCAAAATGTGGACACCAGAACTGTATGTTGAAAAATTGGAGCTAGTGCAGACAAGAGCCACAAAAATGATTTGAGGTCTGGAAAAAAGGCCTTGCAGTGAAAGACTTAAAGAGATCAATCTGTTCATTTTATTGAAAAGAAGATTGAGAGATGACTTGATTACATTGCATAAGAGCCTTCATGGGGATAAAATACTGAGTACTAAAGGACTCTTTCTCTTTACAGAGGAAGGCATAACAAGACCCAATATCTGGAAGTTTAAGCCAGACATATTTAAAAAAATAAGGCACACATTTTTAAGTGTGGATGATTAACTACTGGCACTAATACCAGGGGAAGTGGTGAATTCTCCATCTCTTGATGTCTTCAGATCAAGACTTGGATGCCTTTTTTAAAGTTTATGCTTTAGCCAAACACAAGTTATTGGGCTCAGTACATGGGTAATTGGGTGAAATTTCCTGTGATATACAGGAGATCTGACTAGATGTTCTAATGGTCTCTCTTGGCGTAAAGTCTATGAATCTAAGGAAGTGATCAACAGAATGGCTTGTGATGTCTTCTCCAAGTAAAGACCAAGGGAAATTTAACCCTTTCCTTTCATCTTGAAAGCACAGGAACTATTCATGCCATTACCTTTTTATCGAATGTGCAGTGAGTATTTACAGGACTATCTGCTGTTACTTGTGAAAAGAACATCTCATTTACTATTGATTTTTGTAGGATGAAGTAGCCCTGTTGCACTGTCTGGATAACAGGCTTACAGATTGTAGTGGTCCTGTGATGGGAAGCTGCTTTAATTTGTGGGCTGTCAGCATATTTCACTTTGCCAACCAAATAAATATTGCAAGTAACCAATCTGAGAATAACTTAAAAGTAAAGTTAAGATTCTGTCATGGTATTTTTAGTAAAAGTTAGCAACAGGTCACAGGCAATCAACAAAATTTCATGGAAGCCCAATTTGTCTTAGTTGCAAAGGCCAAAATTTGGTAACAGTAACTTTACATATCACATTACATGTAATCTCCTTTCATTTTTTCTGTCTCCCCAGTTAACTTTTTCTTCTTCTCACAGACTCTCTCCTTTGTCTCCAGCAAACATCTTTTGGGGCTTGTTAGAAGATTCTTCTTCCAGCCCTCTGTCACTGGGCGCTCTTCGTACATAGAAACGTCTAGTCTTTTTCCTCAAAGTGTTATAACAAATGTATGTGATTAAAAATATGACTTACCGAATATATTATTTATTAAGCACAGTTCAGCCAGTGCTGTACAAGACAGAAAATAAAGACAGCTCTTGCCTAAGAAATTACCTTATAAAAAACAGACATGGAGAGGATGGGACACGTTAGTCTCCATATGACGTTTGGGAATGTCTTAAATTGTCACGTTGGTACTTACCACATATCTGTGGAGAAATGTTTTTGATGCCCCAAAACGACTTATATTTTATTGACTGAAACAATCATTGTTTCAATTCTCTCTCAGGCTCCCAATCCTGTGCTCACTTAAACCCCAAGATCATGTCTTTATCCCTCCACTTCTCCCCCACCTCAAAAATGGTTTTGGGGTTCACATTTTTTCTGTATGTAAAAAAGTGGTTTTGCAATCTCAATCAATCATGTATCATTTTAGCAAAACAAAAAACCAAGATACCCCTATGATTGCAAAAGTCTCCATTATATTTTGCCTCCTACAACTTGTATATTCTTCATAACACCATTTAAAAATTATAATTCTGCTATAACTACTTTTCAAATTATTTTTGTCTCCTGGTGATTTAAGCCTCGATTCTCTAAAGATTTACATTTGGGCTTAATTTTATGCACATGAGTAGCCTCACTAAAGCTAATGGAAGTAGTCACATACATAAAGTTGAGCATAGGCATAAATTTTTGCCGTGGCCTTCTCATTTTCTCTTTGAGTGAGTATGTGTTTACACAAAGTTGTGTTTTGCTTTTAAGAATATACTTAAACCTCAGATGAAACGGGAATGGGGGAGGGAAGAAACAGGCAGGCATAACACTGATGAAAGCACCTCTCTTGCTTTGTTTCTATTTTTGTGTATTTTTAAAGTTATCCATTTTCTTTGAGGAAAAATATTAGGTTTCCAAATATAAAAACAATAATACAGTTATTTAATCAGAATAAATTTTGTTGTAGGCTTGTATGGTGTGTGAGGTCTTTTTAGTAAAGTGACATAGCTGGATATTTGAAATAATTTTTATTTTATTTTTTCTGAAACACTAATTTCCTATGTTGCTTTACTTTACATTTTCTTTATATTTCTGGTAAAATGCCTTGATTTCAATTACAGTTTTAAGAAAATTAAATAGCATTTTAACTTCCATCATTTTAATTTTAGTGAAACATATCCCAATTCCATCCAGTGGAACCATTTCAGCAGCTTCATTTTCGGAAGACTTACCACAGCCTACACCTGTCACATCCTCTCCTTCTGGTCCCAAAGACCAAATTAAAGGTGGAAGTGAAGAAAAGAAAAAAAAGGAGAAAGCAGAAAAAAAAGGTATTTCCATTTTTCAAATCTGTTAGGCATCTACAACAGTTAATTTGCAGACTTGCTGTTTACATTTTTATTGGAGAGGATAGAAAAGAGCAATCAGTAGAGCTACAGTAGGAAAATCCATACACATTAACTCTTAAACTCCTGGAGAAAGGAAGTATTTACAACTAATGAAAAAGTTTAATCAAATAGGTTTGGGGCACTTAAATTTTAAGTTGGATATTGGGCAGATTTGTGTCAGTTTGGCTGAAGTGTAGGTTGTCTCCCCTTTCAAAATAATAAATAAAATACTGAAATGTTGAGGTGGAGTCTGCCACAGCACATGAAATTAAATAACTCTCAGCTCTGAGGTTTATTGTTCAATTTTGTTTCTACCATTTATACAATGCAAGCAACAGCCCATGAACTAGCTTAGAGAAATTACCGTATTTACTCGTTCATTAGCCTGTTCGTTTATAAATTGACCCCCCCAAGATGGTTAGGTAAAAATAACAAAAACTGTATGACCCTTTCATAAGCCGACCCTATATTTCAGGGGTTGGCAAACTTTGGTTCCCAGCTTGTCAGGGTAAGCCGCTGGTGGGACGTTTTGTTTACTTGGAGCATATGCAGACATGGAGCCCCTCAGCGCCCTGTGGCTGCAGTTCACCGTTCCCAGCCAAAGGGAGCTGCGGGAAGTGGAGCCGAGGGGCTCCATGCCTGCAGATGCTCCAGGTAAACAAAATGACAATGTATTAGATATTCAATTCAGTGATTCCACAGAGTTTAAAATCATCAAATTTTGATGAAGATCCGTTTATAAGCCGACCCCCGCTCTTTGATGCGTCATTTTTTTACCAAAAATATTCTGCTTGTGAACAAGTATATATGGTACTCAGTAAGAAGTAGTAATGTAATATAGCACTAAAGGGTAGAACCCAATGTAGTTTGACTGTTTCTTCTGCTTCTTTTCGGAAAACACTCTCAACCATTGAGCTTCAGCAACCTATTTAAATCCATCCATATCAACACTAGTGGTATTATTGTTTGGGTATGGGGGAGTACAGTGAAATCAGCTAGGCAAATAACATTTGTAGAAATTAACACTGCGTGTTGGGACTTTAAATATTTTACCCGAATATATTTGACTCCATTTGATATTTATTAGCTGCCTCTAGTAACCTTCCTGTAAGAGTATTTAATGAAGAGAATAATTTGAGAAAGAGGAATAAATATAATTATAAAATACTGATTACATTTCCACAAAGGTCTGTTTGGCAATTCAATGCATGATTAGGAAGGGTCAATTTATGAATAGTACAATTCACCGTTGATGGACATGGATTTATTTCTGGCCCATCTTCAGAATTTTGACATCCCTATGGCAGTAAAGGGACCGAAACTGCATTTGGTTCTGTAGGTGGGTATAATCATTTTCCTTGTCTTCAGTATGTAAGACTTTTGACACAGACTAGGATATCATTGGGATTCATAAAGTTTGAAGTAGAGACCAGATGGCATCTCTAAAGCAATAAAGTGATGCACAATTTAGAGCATCTTTTAGTGGGATCTAGTGGTTACAGGGTTAATAAAGAATTTTTTATGTTATCTTTGAAAGTTGCCACTTTGCACAGGCACAGTCCTGTACTGGAACATTTTATGAACAGAAACATATAGAAAGTTATTTACTTAAATTACAAGTGAAAAGAGAGGTGCTTCGTTGTCCCTTTTTTTCCTTCCTGAAGATGATGTTTCATCTTTTGACTTTACATATCATGGTAGAAATGTTAGAAAGATCCAGCTTCTTTAGATGAAAATTCTAGCATCTGGAATACACATGTCTTAATTAAGATGCTACTCCCATGGATTGTAATTCAGTAAACCAAATGTGAACGTCTCATCTTCAAACCAGCAGACGTGTTCTTATGTACAAACACATTTATTACAGCCCTGAGAGTTTACAAAATGTGAGCTGTTAATTTAAAAAAGAGAAGAATATCTGTATGAGTCCTAATATGAGCCAATTCTTAAATCAATATGAGTAACAGCTATGAATCAATTGAAACCTAAGATGCCTTTTTGATAATTTCCTGTCAAACACATGTATTGATTCTTCCTTCTGCATATGGCAAACATTTGGACAGGTCAGCAATTCAGATTTTTTTTTAAGATTGCAATACCTTAAACCAGCTTTCCAGCAATAATTTGATGAGAAGTGATTAAAATATCTTTGTATTGGTGCAAGAGAAAATCAATTTATTTTATCAATATGCAACATTCTTGGAGGCTTTATTTATTTTTTTAAGGCCAAGAAGACTATAGGGCTCTTGCATCACTTTTTTTATTAGGTATCGTACTTGGTTTCCGTTTTGCTGGTGAATTACCAGTACTAAGTTTGCTGCTGCTGCTATGACTACTTGCAGATCATACGTAACACTGTGTTTTCATACAAAATAGCCACAGTTAAAATCCAGATGACTTTTAACTTAAAAAATAAAATATACAGTCATTTTGTTTGTAATGTTAAGTTTTAATCTTTATGGGAAATAGTAACCAGTGGTTGTAGTTTAGGTCTAAGAATGACATGATTTGAAATAATGGGTGCAGGTAGGAAGTTACGTCTTTCCTTTGTTTTCTTCTTTCAGAACACAGGTATCTAGAGGTGATACTAAATGAACTGATGATATACCTCGCACTGAAATTGTAGTTTCTCTTGTCCATACAAGTTGGTATATATGTATACATTTTAGGGAGTTATTACTGCATCTAATTAAACTCACTACTACAGGAGAGAAGAGGGAGAGGAAGCAGCTGCCAGCAGCTGGGAGTGATGAATCCAGACCTATGGATGTTTCTCGTCTGGACCTTCGTGTCGGTTGTATCATCACTGCAAAAAATCACCCTGATGCGGATTCTCTATATGTCGAGGAGGTGGATGTTGGAGAAGCAAACCCAAGAACTGTTGTCAGTGGCTTAGTAAAGCATGTTCCTCTAGAACAGGTACAAATGAAATTACTTTCATACAGTATTTGGCTGCGTAATGTATACTGTCTTAGTCCCAAAGAATCCTGGCTAATGCTAATTCTGTTAAAGTGACTCCTGGTTCATAGGAAAGACATGTTCTTCCACAGCAGCCTTAATCTTTATTTTGTTTATTTAAAATAATATTTTAACAATGGAAGGGCAGATTTTAAACTAGATGAGAAGCTGTACTTGTGCAGCTGTAAGTACTCTTGCTGTTACAAACTTTCTCGCTTTTAAAAGACGTCAGTCTCATTGAAAATGTTTGAAAGGAAATTTTGATATTTCATTCAAGCGGCTAGTGTAGGGGAATAATATAGATGGGCACATAATGCCATAAGTAAATGGTTCAGGATTGATGGATCCCTTCCAATTCTAACTTTTATGAATCTGTGATGATTATTTTTAATGTTTTCTATATTTTTCCCTTATTTTTATTCCTTATTTTGTTTAAATTATCATATCAGTGTTTAAAATGCATATTTATCCTAAATACAAATGTGTTAATGAGATTAAAATTTCTAGTCTCATATGTCTTATTTTGCTCCATAAAATAATTTGTGTGTTTATAAGCAGTTTTATTAGAAAAATGCTGACCTTTTTGGTTTTTCAGATGTTTTTATATGATCACATAGGCTTTTGGTCATATACTGCTGTTTATTTTAGTCTTTGGATCTAAAGCTGCTTAATTATTATCATACAGTTCCTACTAGGGAGAGGTCCAAGATTTAAAACCTGTGTCCAAATCTGAACTTTTTTTAACCTTGAGGTATTGTAGAGGGATAGTTTGAATCCCAGATTCTGGATTTGTCTGGTATAGAGATATTGGTCACCAATTTCCCATCTTCAAAGATTTCCTGGGTATTTGGATCTGAGGTTTTGTTTTGGGCCATCTAAACTATATACCAGACACACTGACATTTAAAATAATTGGATCTTTTTCCAAAACTCACTTTTTATATTGGAACTGGAAACATCTAGCAAACACTTTAAATAACTTTAAAATATTCCTTTAAGTACTGTAAAAGCAAATATAATGGTAATGCTCCCTTTCAAATACGGTTTCTGATGTTGTAGTGAAGAAGTAATGTGTTTTTTAAAAGTCTATACAAAGATATTTTCCAAGTTCTTCTGTCATACCTGTAACATTCCATGTTTCATTTAAGTGTAAGCTGCATAAACAACACACAGGTACATGTTTAAAAAATGTGTGTTAGGCATCTTGAAGCCCTGAGATGTTAACTCAGGGGTCGGCAACCTTTCAGAAATGGTGTGCCGAGTCTTCATTTATTCACTCCAATTTAAGGTTTCGCGTGCCAGTAATACATTTTAACCTTTTTAGAAGGTCTCTTTCTATGTCTATAATATATAACTAAACTATTGTCGTATGTAAAGTAAATAAGGTTTCAAAATGTTTAAGAAGCTTCATTTAAAATTAAATTAAAATGCAGAGCCGCCCCTGACTGGTGGCCAGGACCCAGGCAGTGTGAATGCCACTGAAAATCAGCTTGCGTGCCGCCTTCAGCACGCGTGCCATAGGTTGCCTACCCCTGTGTTTACTGGAATGAGAGGCACATAAAACAATCATCTTCTTGTGTGTATCCAGAAAATGTTTAGTTTTGTTAATGTCTTCATGCCCATTCTTTAAAGTTTCCTCTGAATCATCATCACATGTGGTTCAATATAAGAAAATAATATAATGAGAAACATTTGGAAAAGTAGAGACTTAGCCAGTCAGAAAAGGATACTAGTTTGACTTTACTGGAAACATTAATGGAAGAAAACCATCTGGATATTTAAAGTTTACAAGTGCATACATCCTATTCTAACCTGTACCGTTGTACCTAGAAACATTATTCATGAATATTAAAGCTCTCTGATCACCCACCATAGCCACTGAGAGGGTGTATGAAGAAGGTAATTCAAAACCCTTCCCATTTCCATTTTGTTTCAATCTAAATGTGGCTATACACATCCACAACATATTTCCATTTGTTTCTGAACTGTCACCTTCAGTGTTAAAGGCTATACTGTCTATTCCAGGATTGTTTTTGTAATCAGTCAAAACCAAGTATGAATAAAGATCACAAAACTATTGCAATGTCCCTTTTATTCTGTACATCTATCTATCTCGATTTATGTAGCATTCAGCACCAGGCTATCTCAGATATTTGCATTTCAGAAATTTAAAACAAAATAGAACCACTGACATTTACATCTTCATATGTTTTGGGGGATTTACTTTCAGTGGCTTAAAATATACAACTAACGTACTGTATGTACCCAGTAGATATAGAATATCAAGAATATATTTAAATTGTATGTTTTCCATTATTCCTTCTTGTTTTCAGAGATTTGTATCTTTATGCTAAGAAAAATTGCTTTTTTTTAAATTTTCTGTCTAAATATTCAGAATGTTACACATGTGTAAATTTTTATTAAATTCAAAAGTAGTCACGTGCTGTTGCTTTAAAAAGTTATGGGTTAATATACAAAGATCTCAACCTGAGAACAATTGTTTGTGGGATAGGGCAAATTTGAAGACATTTTGGTTTTATTTAAAAATGTTCTGCTTCAGTTTTATTCAACTTAAAACATTTTGGGGGGGGCAAAATATTCTCTAATGGGGTCTGGTTGCAGTGCTTATTCTCATTATTATTTATTAGTTCAGAAAAACACAAGGGTTTGTTGTTTTAAATCAGCAAATTGCTGTGTGCAGTACATCCTGCCATTTTCATTTGCTCAAAAAATTTCTATTGTCTTTGGTATTTGGGCTGAATAGGAATGTATGGCACAGCTGTAATCTGCATCCTGAAATTTAAACCACCTAAACATTTTTGTTATACATTTTTCTTTTTATATACTAACTTTAATTTGTAGTAGTTTTTGTTCGTTTTTTTTTAAGGAAATTCCTCTGCTAAGAGCACTGTACTAAAGATGGCCTAAAGTTGTGACCCAAAACAACAAAAGCATATCAAACGAGTAAAATATGTATTATCTAATATTTTGGCACATCAAGGCTCAACCTTAGAGACTTTCTTATTGTACCTTGTTGTGTTTAGATGCTGGAGGACAGCCTGGAACATTTCATCCTTAATTGGCTGTTTCCTGGCTTTTAATGACTAATAGCCTAAAAAGGATTAAAGAATGGTAATTATTTCTGGTATATTGTTGTTGTTGTTGTTAGCATAGTTACATGTACACAAGCAATATGCAGCCTACTGTGTACATGCATATTACATGTATTAAGCTTTCTCCCTCATAATCCTCTTTTTTTCTATAATATAATAACTCCCAAAACCCTAACTCAATTTCCTTACTAATTTTTTTTTAATGAATGTCTATTCTTTTTTGTGCAGATGCAGAACCGGATGGTAGTATTACTCTGTAACCTGAAGCCTGCAAAGATGAGGGGAGTGGTATCTCAAGCAATGGTGATGTGTGCCAGCTCACCAGAGAAGGTGGAGATCCTTGATCCCCCCAGTGGGGCTGTTCCTGGAGAAAGAATCACTTTTGAAGTTTTTCCTGGTAAGCAATAAGTATTAGTGGGGAAATGGGGAAAAATGCATAGCCAGGAACTTGCATATCAGTGTCCTAGTGATCTCTCAGTTGGAGCTGATTATACAACAAGTATTATAAATTGAGTTAAATTTCTAATTTAAATTAGACATTTGTAATATTTATGTGAAGAATTCATATTTTTATAAGAATACGCTAGTATTCTGTGAATACGTAGCATAAAGAAGGATTAAAATATCTAACTGAAAGCCAAAAATTGGGGATTGTGGGAGAAATAATAGCTGTCATACCTAACACGTAGTGCATTTTCATCAATAGCTCTCTTTATGAATGTGGTCATTTTCAATATTTTCATTTTGCAAATGGAAGCGTGGAGGCATAGACAGTCTAAGTGACTTGCCCAAGGTCACATAATAGGTCAGAACCAGACTTAGTAATAGAACCAAGGTTTCCTGACTCCCAATTCTGCATCCTTCACCTCATAAATATATGCACAATGTTTTCTGGGAAACCTCTATTTCTGTACTGACAGCCCAGTATGGTGTAGTTATTATCTTCTAGTTGCTCACAGATAAAAATCACACAAGTAGTGGTACTGAATGTTTCTCCACCCAGATGTCTCATCACAATTCTGTCAGACCCACCACCTGAAGATGAGAGGGATAGTCCATTTCCACTTCTTTTCTGGGCCTCTCTTGACTCTATCAACCAAAATGCCAATTTATTGTTTGTGGTGGTGGAGCTTATAACCTCTATGTCAGTGGTTCTCAAACTTTTGTACTGGTGACCCCTTTCACATAGCAAGCCTCTGAATGCGACCCCCCCTTATAAATTAAAAACGCTTTTTAATATATTTAACACCATTATAAATGCGGGAGGCAAAGCGGGGTTTGGGGTGGAGGCTAACAGCTCGCAAGCCCCCTGTAATAACCTTGCATGGTTATGTCATGGGTTCAGCTGAATCCCAGACTGGCAGTGATGAGCTCCACAGTTAATTATCGATTCCCAGAGCCATCCACTGTCAAGCACAAGTTGTCATCTTCTGAAAACGATCATCCAGATAGAAGTGTGTGTGTGTCAATACTGTCTGATTCCTTCCTACAATAACTGTTGCTTAAAATTGGGTTGCTGTGTGTGGGAAATACTGTGTTTTATCTCCCATGCACATAGCAGTACTTTTTTTTTTTTTTTTATGTAAGCTATCATGTCTCTGGCACTTTTCAGCAGTGCCATACTTGACACACTACTTAAAAGGCAGGACACTCTGCTTCTTGAATACTTATCTCCACAGCATACCTTTTATATACATACTTCTTAATGTAATCTTCTGGTACTTACAAAAAATATTTTGGATGGCATATCACTAAGGAAGCCAAGTCTCTGCACTACTGCTTTTCAAATAGATGAAATGCATTAAGACTTAGCTGCTGTGCTTTATTGCTGTAATTCAGAATGTATTAAAAATAATATCCTGTTTAAAGAGGAAATAAGTATTGCAGCATTTTTTCTTTTAGTTTTATATATTTAAAATATACCATTTTATTGCTTAAAATATATCACATGCACTGTAGATTACCTACAGTGTGAATTAAAGTCCAGAAATCTCCAATAATAAAAATGACTTTTGTCTTCACTGTTTCCTTTACCTTATAGTATTGATCAGCTGCACCCCAAATCTGCTGTTCAAGTGTTTTGTGTTTGAAGGGTGAAGAATTTCTAAAGAAAATGGTTACATAGCAGTCTCAAAATATAAACAGAGCTAGTCGTTACAAATATATCATAAGAGAGATGCACGCTTACGTACCATGAAAAATACTTCATAACTTTAAACCAAATTAACTCATTAGTAAATGCCAAAACTGGAAAGAAAACAAAGTTGCCATATATTAATCACTTTTTATTTTATCAACAAAATAAGCAGCCAGTTATTTTGTGAAACCAAGGAAATCCCTCAGATGAAACATCTTAAGTCACATTCTTTTTTTCAGATCTTGGATACCTCTTGCTTTGACATTTTCCCAGTGTGGTGTAGCTGGCACTCTGCTGATTCATTTTATTGGAAAATGTGCTATTTAATTATGCCAATCTATTTAATAGGCAGACTTGAAGTGTGCAACACACTGAAATTATCTGTCTTTACAAAAAAAAAAAAGACTGCTGTGAGAAACACATTGTTGTGAATAGAAAACATATATGTGTTCTTTATTACTCATCGCTTCCAAAAAATGTTCAAACTCCCTTATGCTATCAGTTCTAATGGACATGCAGTGGGTAGCACAAGCTGCAGAATAAGCTTTGCTAGTGTGAAAATCGTAGTGACCGCATCATGAGGGTCAGCCTTGACTTGCTCTTTCTCTTAAGTATATTTTATGCTGAGTCCAAACCCAAAAATCGGGTGTTCATGCATATTGATATTCTATTGACATAGTCTCTTTCTGGAAAGCTGTATTATAAATTAAATGTGATGTGATAGTTCTAAACCTCGGGCCTGCAGCCTATGATAGAAAGCTTTATATGTTTTACAACAGCTTCCTTCTGATAGGAAGCCATGTGTCTACAAAGGTAGTAAGGGCTAGGGAGGCGGAAAGCTAGAAGAACCCTGCCAACCCAGTTGTAAATGGTGCCCCTTCATTGGCCTTACATCCTGCAACAGTTTTTTTTGTCCTTCACTATCATCAACATTTGTTTGGTAAAAGAATGGTAGATTGAACCAAAATACAAAAGTAAAAATTTCTGGGGCACACAGAAGTGTGATTCATGTGACCTTTTTTCCCCATTCTTAATCCACCCAAGTCCTATGCATGTAAATGTTTTCCATCCCCAATGTTAAATTATAGAAATACTGGTTCACATACTATGAATCAGAATTGTAGTTGGAAATACATGGATGTTATGGCTGGTAATTTCTTCCATGGGCTACCTTGGAGCCTATGTCTAACTTTAAAGAGATTTTAAAATCAGATCTTTCTAAACTGCCCCTCCTACAGATTAACCTTAGTGAGAATGTGATCCGACCAATGTCCTTTGTGAGCTGTGTATTAGACTGTTAGCTATCTCTTAAGAACAGTGATCAAAACAGTAAACATTTAACCTGGAACTGTCCCATGTTGTGGCTTCTTGCTAAAGCTACTAAAGTAGTGATTTTATTTTTTTAAATCAGGTGGGTGAAGTGTCTCCCTTGGGTTGACTCCTGCATTAGCTGCATTATCTTTATTACCCATTGTTTCCAAAAAATTTCAAATTCCCTTATGCTTGTGGTAATCCTGCTGACAGCTTTGAGGGGTCAGCCTTGACTTGCTCTTTGTCATGTAATATTTTATGTTGAGTCCAAACTCGTAAATCAAAAATGATTTATCAGAACTGACATTTGAAAATTAGGAAAATGATCACAGAGCTATGGAGCTCTATTACATTGCATCCTGTCTGTTCGTTCACACCAAGCCACCTGCCTAATGGGGCACTGCTGTAGCAAAACAGTTAGAATTACTTTTAAGGAAACCTTCAATCCATCATTAGATTTCCAAAAGTCTTTTCCTAGTGAGAATCAGCTATGTCCGCCTTTGTTATAAAATTGTTCCCAGGTGTTGGTGCATATTGATATTCCATTGACCATTCTGTTTCACAAAAGCTGAATTATAAATTAAATGTAGTATGAAAGTTGTACGTTAGAACTAAACCTTTGGCCTGCAGTCTATTATAGAGCGTTTGGTATGCTTTACAACTAATTCCTTCTGATAGGAAGCCAGAGACATCTGGGGAGCTTTGATAATGCCAAATGAAGATTTTTTTACAACCATTTTATTTAAAAAACAAATTGACTTCTGGAGATATACATTTTAGCTAAAGAATATGGCAACTACTCCCTAAAGCACCAATGAGGGGGAAAAAAAAATGTTCAGAAAAAACTGGTAGCTACAAGACAAAGCCAATAACTGTTTTTGAGGATAACACCATTCATTCTTAACAATACAAAATAGACATTCTAGAATAGAACCAATCATTACATATGAAAACATACAAAACAGATAAATAAATATGAGGAAAGGCTAGAGCAAGCCAACTTGATATAAAAGATATTCTTTTGATAGTTGTGAAGGAAACACTTCTACATGACAGTCAGTTTTTGGCAGGAATCAAGTGTATTTATAAATCGCAATAAGGTAATTGGTATAAAGCAGCACACAAGATGAAAGGAATCATACATTCATACAGTATAAATAGACTAAAATTTTGATGGATATTATCAATGTTTATTTTTAAGCTTTTTTTCTATTTTTATCGATTTTAAATTTTCAGTTTTGCAAAATGGTGTTTTTAAGCTTTCAGATTTTGTCCATTTAAATTTTCACAGTTGTGGGAGATTATGTGGGATCAGACTGTAAGGGGGGGGGAGGGGTCAGACAATAATTATTTAATGACAGCATATGTTAAGATTTAAAAAGTTTAAGCTTTATAACCATTAAAACATAAATTGTCTACATATCATGTCAACAAAGTCTGTGTCCTCAAATCAAATTCAAGTTCTCAAGCAGCATTTTTCTTGCTTTGCCTACCTATAAATTTCAAACATCATCAATGGAAATATTTTTCCTCAGTTTGTGTGTATTGTGAAATTGACATTTATCATTAAAAAGTCTAATCCTTCCAAGCCTAAGTGTAAATAATATATAGCGTGGAAGGTTCGTTTTATTGTTTAAGAGTAAATAACTTGCAAGACTTCATATAAAATTTAAATGCAAAACAGATGTAATTTAGTACATTTCACTAGGTTCATTTTTAGGGATGAGGAAGTAGGACAGAGGAGAGAGTGCTGATTTAATCACAGTAAAAAAAAATACCTGTGAAATGCACAAAGACAGGCATGTACATTATCCCCAGCCTTCTGCAGGGCAAGTTACTTTATTACTGATCCTGCCTACCATGATGAAAGGTTTGATCTGAATCATTAGGTAAGTCTGATTCAGTGAGGGCAAGTCTACACTACAAAATTAAGTCGACCTAAGTTATGT